TCTGGGCCAGTGTTGTAAAATGAAGATCGCTGCATCACGGACAAAGGTATGTATTTGTTCAGATGGGCTGCACAGCGGGGGTAGGACAACTTATAGCACATACATATTTGTCCTTTAAATGCATACGCATCTCACATTTGATTGGCAAATTGGGAAATAGCTATATATCAAGCACAGGCCGTTTATGTCTTCACTAAAAAAATTGATTTTTTTAACTCACTGTAAAACCCTTTTCTCTGAGTTCATTGAAGGACATTCTGCTATTTTCCTCATAAAATAATAACCCCCCCCCCCAAAAAAACAAAAAAACTGGGCATGATACACATAGCTAGCAAAGTCTTCAGAAAGCAGTGATTTTATACCAGTATTGCACTTTTTTCTTAGACTTACTTGAAAATGTGTGCATTCATTAAAATGCTCCTCCACTGGAAATGGTTAAGAACCTCCGGATCTCGAGCTGCAACAGTATATACTAGTAACCTGAGCATTAAAGCTGAACTCCAGGCAAACAGCTAAATACACAGATGAAATATATGAGAAGGAGCGGTTTAGCCCGCCAAAGAATTGGAATTTCCGACTATTCAGTTTTAAGATCTGCACACAGCACAGTCCTGTCTGGAAGGGCATATGACCTGAATTTACTCTACTGTAGTTAATCAACACTTACAGGTCTTGTTTCTTTCTCAGCCTGTGACTGGACAGTAAAGAAGAAGCAGAAGACTCTCATCCTATCAGTATGCTTCTATAAGCATTGCAGCATAACTGAAGGACTCCTTATGGTGCTTCTTCCTCACCCAGTCGTAGCTCTGCTATACAGGGATAGCAAGATAGCTGATCTGAGGTCCAATTCAGGTACGTACACTGCCTGAATCTAAAAAATATATTTAATAGGCGTATTAATAAATTTAGAGCTGTATTGATTTGCATCTTTTATATCAGCTTTAAGCGGCAATGTGCTGGGCATAGTCTACAATAAATCCCATACAACACCGAATTTTGTTATGCTGGGTGGAACAGTTATTCCACATCACACATTTAAATGTTCACAATAAAGAAAAGAATGCCATATAATATCGTTTATGAACTACTGTCTATAAATGTCCTTTAGAAAAAAAAAAAAACCTTTTTGTTTACTTCCACTGGTTGTTAAAAAAAAAAAAAAAAGTATTAGCAACCCAAAGAGCAGTTAAAATAATGCTAAAAAAAATAAAA